TATATTATATATTATCGCATCCCACGTGTAATTTCTGCCTAATCTTCGTTAATTCTCCCAGTGACTGACAAGACGGCTACAGAGGCTCGGATCCCGCAAGTCCTGCATCGCATGGATTGATAGAAGCAATTACATTTAGCAAAGGATTATTATTTCCGGGACGCTATAGATAATTCCCAATCACGGTTTACTTATTACAATACGATTACCTTAACTGCCGTTATACAGGACAAAAGACGAAAGACAGAAAGACGAAAGACAGATTGCTGGAATATTAGCCGCGGTTTGCAAAATGGGCAACGATGCGGCCCTCGAATGATTCGTCGCAAACAGAAAACAATTCGGATGATGAATGCTGAACGAACAATCCAAACTGACGTTGGAGGTATGGGAAAAGTCATAATTTATGATGGAGGTCCTTAACATTAAATGATTTAGAGACCAAAGTTAACGTATGGAATAAATGTGAATAACGGAAAATAATCAAGTGTGTACAGAATTTGAATGATAAACATATGCAACTGAGTTAGGAATTTTTTAACAACAATATTTGAACCTAGCAATATGTTTCCAGTGAAATAGCCCTCACCCGGCATTGTTGCACCCTATTACAGAGATGTAATAAAAATTTATCATACAGAGATGTGACAACTGTTTGAGTTGGCATCTGTAATAAACAAACGTAGTTTGTAAGATATTAATCACAACAGCTCATAGAACCCATAAGTTCTGATCGCTGTTCAAATAAAATTAAAAAAAAAAAAAAAAAAAATGAAATTAGACGGCGAAATGTATATAACCAGCCATTGCCTCAAATCAAGCAAGAAATAACCTTGTTTGAAAATCGTTCAAAAACAAGTTTTTTTCCATTGGAAGTCTTTTTGGTTTTGAGCACTGTTGTTTAGTTTACGATACTCGAATATCATTTTAAATATGTAATACATAATTTATGGACCGATTCTGCCGCATAACAAAACAAACGTATGGCAAGGCTATGTTATGAAAAACTTTCCACACTAAATATTGACGAAAGCCGTGTGGTTGCTGTACAGTCAGGTGTTTTTCTCAGGTTGTCAGATAGAAAACCTAACCTAGAAACCGCACAAATGTCAAAACAACGATCTTAGATAACAGGGCCTTTCTCACCCAGCTTCATAACGTACGAGTGACGTTGCAGTTTATGTGTACAAAAGTTTTTTTTTCATTTGAGGTCTTTTTGGTTTTGAGCACTATTGTTTAGTTTACGATACTCAAATATATTTCAAAAACACATAGTTTATGGACCTATTCTGCCGCATAACAGAACAAACTTATGGCAAGGCTATGTTATGAAAAACTTTCTATACTAATTCGTTCTAAATATTGACAAAAACCATGTGTTTGCTGTGCAATCAGGCGTTTTTCTCAGGTTGCCAGATAGAAAACCTAACCTAGAAACCGCACAAATGTCAAAAAACGATCTTAGATAACAGGGTCTTTCTGACCCAGCTTTATAACATATGAGTGACGTTGAAGTTTATGTGTAAAACGAATGAATGCACAGCAAATACATGGTATTTTGACAGCATTCAGTATAATTTAGTAGCATTATGTATAGAAGTTGGTGCGTAACGTGGCCTTGCCATAATATTTGTCTGTTGTGCGGCGGAATCGGCCCAATAATTGATTTATACGATTTATTGTTTATATTAAGTAAGATTATTTTTTCATGTAACTGCTATAAATGCTTACACGTAGGTGGAGTAAAAGAACCAACTAAACCATTACATTGGCAAAGATGTAAACAATAAAAAATAGTGATCAAAAAACTAAGTTAAGTTAAAAAAAAACAACTTACATCTGTGCTGATGAATCTTAATTCACGTGGATCTTAATTGACAGGGATCTTCGGACTGTTATTGACGTAGAATATTGGAAAAAAAATATGTTTAGTTAATTTGAAATCAAATAAAAATTGTATTTGTTGAGTAGAATTTAAATAAATATTAGGAAAAATAGGACTAACAGAATTCGAATAGCTGAATTGTATTAGAAGTAAGAAGGGAAATATTGGAACTTGCTGAAATTAGAAAGAAGAATGAAGAAAAAAATGGAATGAAGCTAGAAGTTAAATATAATTAGAAATTTGAGAAAGAGCAAAAATTGAAAAAATAAGAAAAAAAATTATGAAGAATATAGAATAGGATACATATATAAATTGAAAATGATATAAAAATTAGAATGTAAATAAATAAAATGTTCTAGATGGCTAAATGCTCAGAGTAAGCGAGGCCAAATAGAAAAAATATATAAAAAAATCTAACAAGTAATAAATTGTAAGGTTTGCTCAGCGTTGTATAAGTCGCTACAGGTAGATACGTTGCAATTATGAAATCATCTGATTTAGTGATAATAAAAAAAAACAATTAAAAATCGCCAAAACATTCAAAAATGTGACATGCTCCTGAATGCTATAGTGGCGATACGCAAATAGAGACGCCATGACGCGTCCAATGTTTATTTCTGAACGGCCAAGTATCTCGCACTGAAAAACCGACGCGGAGCGACACCCGGACCTAATTTAGAGATCCCGAATCA